TGTTGTTGTTTTTTAAAAAAAATAGAGATTATATTGATTCTTTTCCAACCATGTGTAAGTAGATTCAGTGGAGATTGGGGTGGGAATGACGCTTGCATTAATAATATTAATGTGAATAAAACATTCTGGGCTGTCCGTACTAGAAGGCCTACATCTCCTCCGTGGCTGACTGGGGGATTCTGGGAGTTGAAGTCCCCGCATCTTAAGTCCCCCACATTCTAGATGTATGTTAATAATGCTGAGCACCTTCCCTGTTTGATGACAAGTGCTCATCTTGTTCTGACCCTTTTTATTAATTGACTGTGAATTCTGCTCATTCGCATCCAGCAAAGTCTTTCAAGGGAGGATTTACGGTCACAGACCTTATCTGGCTTGGAGAGCTGCCAGGCCGATATCTGTGAAACTTGGCAAGGAGTCACGGACCAATTAAACGAACTAATTGTCTCCTGCAAACTCCACTCCCCTTTTGCTCCTCTTTTATTTCCTCTGGGAGGGGCCATTCATCGTCCGCCTGTGGCCTTACTCCCAAGTCAACCCCTGTTCTTTAGCTGTTCTCTTCATCTGGCAGCTCTGTGCATGCGCACACTGGGGACAGGCTCCAGCTGTTCTTCTGCCCCACTGATGTCTGACTCTGAAGGCAGCTGATAATTGGCATACGGCTCTAGCCCCCTCTATGCCTCCAACGCAGAGCCCTCATCAGAGCCTTCCCCAGACTCCAGGACTGGCCCATGTTCCTCCCCAACCTCCTCACTGTCCGAACCTGCTGCCAGCTCTGCTGACCCCTGGCAGGCTGCAATACATCTCTAGTGGAGATTGTTGTGCATCATCTTAAGTTTTTGGAGGCCTCCTTCCCCATCAGCAGAGCGGTAAAGCAGTTGTAGATAATTTCTCCTGCATCCTCGGATGAGTTGCTCGTGTGAATTACATTCAGTTGATGGGACTTTGCTAAATGAGTACATTTTTTTTCCTTTCCTTTCTCTCCTTCCAGTTAAATACCCAAAGCTAAGACCTTGTTCTTCGTTGGTCAAGCTACTCGAGGTTGGTCTGCCAGAGTGATGGCGCTCCCTTTCCGGAAAGACTTGGACAAATACAGGGAACTCGATGAAGATGAAATTTTGGGCAAGTTGTCTGAAGAAGAACTGAAGCAACTGGAAACTGTCCTGGATGACCTTGATCCAGAGGTGTGTAGATTATGGTCCCGATGTTTTGTTAGCATTTCCATACCACCTGAAGGCAGGACAAGAAGTAATGGATGGAAGCTAGTCAAGGAGAGAAGCACCTAGAACTAAGGAGAAATACTAAAGGGAAAACTAAGGGAATGGGGATTTTGCAGTATCCTTCCCCTGGAGTGGGGAGGGAATGGAGATTTTGCAGTATCCCTCCCCAGGAGTGGGGAGGGAATGGGGATTTTGCAGTATCCTTTCCCTGGAGTGGGGAGGAAATGGAAATTTTGCAGTATCCTTCCCCTGGAGTGGGGAGGGAATGGGGATTTTGCAGTATCCTTCCCCTGGAGTGGGGAGGGAATGGATATTTTGCAGTATCCTTCCCCAGGAGTGGGGAGGGAATGGGGATTTTGCAGTATCCTTTCCCTGGAGTGGGGAGGAAATGGAAATTTTGCAATATCCTTCCCCTGGAGTGGGGAGGGAATGGGGATTTTGCAGTATCCTCCCCCCTGCTACGCCCACCATGCCACGCCGACAGAAACGGTATTAAAAATGTTTGAATTTCACCATTGTTCCCAACATATTTTTTTATAATGTGGTGACCAAAACTGGATGTAGTATTCTAGGTGCGGCCTTACTTAGGCTTTATAGAGTCGTATTAGTACTTCACTCAATCTTGATTGTGTCCCTCTGTTAATGCAACTGAGGATTGCATCGGCTTTTTTTGGCTGCCGCCGTACACAGCTGGCTCATATTTAGCTGGTTGTCCACTAAGACTCCAAGATCCCTCTCCCTTTTAGTTCATTCTCCGTGGGGACTGCAAGAGGATTCACCTTTTCCTTTCGTTTCACAGAACGCCCTGTTGCCAGCGGGATTCCGGCAGAAGGACCAGACTTTGAAAAAACCCGGAGGGGCTTTTGATCGAGAAAAGCTGCTGTCATTTTTGGAGAAACAAGCTCTGGAGGAGAAAGATGTCGAGGAGGTTGTGCCTTATACAGGAGAAAAGAAAGGTAACGGCTTCCCCAGAGCAACTTGGCTTGTCCAAGCTCCGCTTCCTCTCTCTCTCTCTCTGCCCTCACTCGCGGGCTGGACGCATATACAGGCAGTCCTCAACTTAATGACCGCGACTGGGACTGGAAGCTCTGCTGCTAACTGAGGGGGAAATGTCCAGACCAAACATAATTTCTAATGTTGGATTTTCCTCCTTACAAGAGGGAGCCCCCCCGTGTGGAGTACTGTGAAGCCGTTACCATGGCAACTCCACTGTGCTGTACCGTAGAAGCCCTTTTATGGCAGTACGGTAGAAGCCATTTTAAGGCACAACAGGCTGTATCTTAACATTATACACACCCCGAGGGGTGTTAGAGGTGTCTTACCCACACAGTATTTTTCTCCAGAGAGTAAGTCATCTGTGTACCAAGTATGGTTGAAATTTGCTCAAGGCGTTCAGGAGTTATGCTGGAAACCCACCCACCCCCCACACACACAGAGCCATTTTTTTTTAATTATCAATTTCATATATACATTCACAATTATATGATCTCATAACTGTTATTAATAATATGTATTTATAACAATTTTTCCCTATTGTTGACAATATACTTGAAGATTGCTTTTTTATCATCCCATAGATCCATCTTATCTTACAACGGTCCTACTTCTTCTTCCCTCCCTCCCTCTTTCCTTCCCTCGTTTCTTCTCTCCCTCCTTCCCCTTCCCTCCTTCTCTCCTTCCCTCCTTCCTTCCCTCCTTCCTTCCCTCCTTTCTTTTCTCCTTCTCTCCTTCCTTTCCCCCTTCCT